TAAGGGCCTGTGTGGGAAGTATTATTTACAGTTGCTGTCAGTTGCTCTCCTGCATCTGTAACTGTGCAGTTAACACAGCTATGCGCAGGGACAGCATAGAGAAACTGTTTCTCACTTCCCGCTGATAGTATCTTGTGGAGGGTAGCTGACTGATGTGACACAGGACTGGTGGTGCTGATTGTGTCCCTCCCGTCTCATTTGTGACTTCATCCATCTTGATATATTAGATGGAGTCTGGGAATGAGAGGAATAGCTGCCTTGTCAGATTGTAGAAGGTACAGTAAAGGATTTGATTGATTGATTTAAATCCGTTGCAGTATATTACAAATTGAAGTTAAAGCTTTATTACATTGCTTTACTTGGTTAAAATGGACTTTTTTAATGTTTTGCTTCTACTTTTGGGATTTTAAAATTTTTACTACCGAAATGGCTTTCTAAATAAAATGTTTGATATTTATTTTTGAGAATATCACCGCTTCACTGGATTTATTTTTTGTGTAATGTTTCACTGAAAGGTGACAGAGCTGATAAAAATATGGTTGTCCCATAAGTATTCTTGATGAAAAAAATTGACCTGGAAGAACCTTTATCTGTACTTGCAACCTCTTCTTAAAGGAATAAAGTAAGCCTGAGCAAACCTGTCAGCAAAGTGCTGAGTAGAATCATAGAGTATCTCAAGTTGGAAGGGACCCATAAGGATGGTGGAGTCCAGCTCCGTGCTCCTCACGTGACTACCTAAGGCTATTTAGATAGAATTTTTCTGAACAGGCAAATGTATCAGGTAGGAAGTTTGTGCCCAGGGGAAAAGTAAATGCAGACTGAAGGGTTAAAGCCTTTGGGAGCTGATCTGCAGAAGTCAGTAGGAAGCCACTTAAAACATCCTCTGTGGAAACCAGCTGGGTTACTGCTCTGTGCTGTGCCTTGTGCTATTTTTCTCATGAGATTTCTCTATAAAAGAGACCTTAAATCGATAAGGATACTGTGGAAGGAGACAGGAATAAGTAGTTTGCAGATAATGCAGTACTGTATTGTTGATACCAGTAAGTACTTTAAGTGACCTGAGGATGATTAGGTCCCTATCTTTCTGATGGTCCCTGGCTCTGGGCTGCATTTCTGTCCCAGCTTCTTCCCAAGGTGTGGTGCTTGGCTCCCTGTCTTGCGTTCACCCGTTCCATTACAGGGAAAGCGTTGTGATATAAAGGCTTCAGTCATCTCATTCAGGACAGAAACTGCTTTCTGTATTAATCTGTTAAAGGTGTTGCTAAAGATTAAGCGGGTTTGAGACTGAGGAGAACCTTCCATTTTTCGCTATCGAGTTTTACCCTCTCAAGAGTGGGTTCCCAGAGACAAGTCCCAGAGGTGAGCAAGTAGCAGGTCAGCACTGTGGCTGACACTTAACTTGATGCATCCGTTCCATCATCCACAAACATTTCATATTGCACAGCCACATGTTAAATGCTAAACACTGTGTGAAGGCGCAGTCTTGACCTCAGGCTCTCTGCAGCCTGAGTAGGTTAAATTCAGATTCTTAGGGGAGCAGTTTGATCGAGAAGCTGAAGACTTGATCCGGTAGCTGTAATTGTGGTATTTGAAACCTGACTTGTTTGTTTCCAGGAATATGCCTAAAAGAGAGAATCAGTCTAGACTAAGTTGATTACATCTGTTGTCAAAGATGCTTTTGAGCAGAGACAATCGAAAATTTATGTACGAACAAATGATTTCATTTGAGTTGCACTCCTAAGTGCCTTTATAAGAAGCATTGCTGTCTGATCAGTGAACGAATACATGAGTAAGCAGAAGATTTTGATGTAACTGATGTTTTGCTCGCATCTTAGTTCATACTTGGGTACATATCAAGGGAGGACTTAGATCTTGATATTGCTGTAGTGAACTCTGCAGTGAAAGCCAGGGATGTTCCACCAAATGATAATTACCAATAGTTGCCTGTCACTGCAGAATTTTTCTCTGAAGTAGTTCTTTCCTTGTGCTTTTTACTTTGAACTTACTCATTTGTCCAGGAATCTTTGTGAACTTGGCTAGTCCTCTTCCCCTTCCAAGACATCACCCAGGGGAAGATGCAGGTTAATAGTGTCTTGTGCTATAATCTTCCAGTTATTCATGTAGACAGCCTATCAAATGTGCAGAAATGGACTGCAGCTCTGATCATCACGTTAAGGGGATTAATGTCATCTAATGCAGTGTGTTGATACCAAACGGATTACAAGGAGCAGATGATGTTTGGAGGCTGAGTGAGCTGGGAGAGGAGAGGGAAGTAAAACCCTTCAGGAAATCAGTAGGCATCTCAATTTAGCAACTTTTTGTAGTTAATGTACTATGTGCCGCAAAACATGTTCTCCAGAGTTTGGGGCCGTACTTGGTGGGGACATGTTAAAGAGGATGCTTGCTATAAAGCTTCTGTTTAGAATAAACAGCTATCATCATGTAACGCTTCTTGCAGATAGATTTCATCATCTTAAACCAAGTGCAGAAATATTTTTTGGTGTTTAAAGTATATATTTAGTATTTCTTGTAGCTCATTTAGTCTTACTAGGCATATACAGATGTTAGTTTTTAACTGGGTGTTATATAACTGTGGGTATAGTTAACTTTATTTGGTCAAGAGAGTAAAACTATGCTGTGAACAATTATGTAGTAGCTGATAAATGCGTTTATACTGAGTCATCCCATTGATTTGACCAATAATGGGTCATTAATGGCAAAGTTGATTTAAAATCTGAAGCCACACCTACCTACAACTGCAGGCACAGAAGTGAATATAGGATATATTAGTTTGCCTGGCATGTCTCAGTTAAACTGCGCTAGTACAAGCTCAAGCATCTCGGCCACATTCTGGTCATGTCTGAAATGTCAGCAGACAAGCTGCTAGTTTGAACTACAGAATCACAGATGCTGTTCAGTCTGTCTTTTTTCATTCTCTGGTTAAGCATGTTGGAAATGGGGGAACTTCTTAGCTCTTTCTATTGCCATGTAACTGAAAAGCTAGATGAACACGAACTGGATCTCTGAGATGTGTATGACTGAGGAGGATGTTAGCAGATACGCACAGTGCTCAGCTGCAATGAAATAATTGCACGAGGAGACTGCCAAAAGTGTATGGTCCTGTGCAGTAGAGGTGCCCCTGGGGCTGATAATGGGTTTCTGTGCACTTGTCAATACCATCCCTCCAGAACTGACTCAGAGTTCCTCTGGAGTTCCTGTTTTATGGCTTACAGTCCTTGTTGACTCCTTGCTTCATGCTTTAGTATTTTATAATGTGAATGTCTGTGGAAGAGAGGAGTGTGTGTGTATGTATGAGAGAGAAGGTAAAATTTGATGCGAACTATATTCAGAGCTGCTTTGTAATTACAAACCAACACCTTTCATGCACCATAGGTTGGTTAGTGTGGTGGGGGGTTGTGTTTGTAATTTAACGGGGGCCCTACAGTGCCAAGTGGTGTTCTCATTGCCAGGTAGTTGAGTGCTTAATAAATCTATCCGATGGTATTAAGCAAATTTTATAGCCAGTCAACTTGTTCCTGTTTTCAGCTTTTAGGAAGAGGACAGCTGCTAGACTTTTCAGGTGGTTTAGTTCACATGTGAATTTTGAGCCCAGCAGATTTTTCTTAGGAACTCTTTCTCCCCCAATTACTCATCAAGCTATTTTGAGGTGATCAGCACTAAACAAAATCAAGGCCATAAAGCAAAATGCTGAACAAGATAATGCTGCTTTTTTTTTGATCAGCAGTAATCCAGCTGGGTATGTTAAAAGGCTATGTAAGTTGCTCCCACAGGATGTAGACTCTGGAAAAAATGCCGTGTAAAAAACTTGTCTCCCCCATTCCCCAAGCTCCCCATTCTCCCCCTATTTTAATAGTAAAGCTTTTAGATATCAGTTACATTCTTTTTGTTGAGTGTTATGTGGCCAACTTGAGATGTGGAAAAGTTTTGTCTGAAGCTTTATTTAAGGGAATATAAAATAATTTGGAACTTTAACTAAAACTGATGGGGAAAGGAATTAGGGTTGTTTGTACAGATGGGGTTAGAATGGAAATATTTAATCTACATGTAGGTATTTCCAGAATACCTCATATGATTTGGTAACCTGATCCACCTTTTCCATGAAAAAAGGGCATTTTGGGTGTCTTATCCAATTTAGTAACCTAGTCGTGAGTATTTTTCCACTTCTCCCTGGTTTAGACTCATTTAACTCTATTGGATTCCACAAATTTTTATTGAACTGGAACTGATGGAAAATGAGAGAAGGATCAGGTTAAAGTAACTACTAATAAAACTGATAAGACTATTCAGATGCCATGGAGCCGGCTTTTGTTGTTGAACTGGAACTCAGTATCATTGTCACTGAAGTCAGAGTTGAACCAGAACGCAAAATGTGAGATCAGGGAGAGGCCTCCTTCTTTCTGATCCTGAACATGTAGTCTGAAATGGGGAAGATGGGCTGGCAAGTGAGGAAGTAAGCTGGAGGAGGAGGGAGTAAGGTAAGTCTGCAGTACCTTCTGCCAAACCATTGAAAATGTCTCTGATGGATTTACTCTTCGAACGTACTGGTGGTCTTTCTCCTCCTGGCTGAAGATGCACTGTGGACAGTGGACAGGGAAGGCCTGAGCTGTTAATCTGTAAACTGTTGTAGTTGAAAAGGAAACTCCCTTCTCCAGTGTTCCCAATATAACATCACTGGTGGCTGCCAAAGTGTATCAGGTGGGGTTGGAGGAGGAAAACAAAGCTTTAAAACCTTTCCTATCTCTTTGGTCTCTTGCATAAAATATGAGGAAGTAGATAAATGTGAAACTGTGAAACTATTTTTAAAGCTACTTTCTCCTTCGGAAATAGTTTGGCACAGGTTCTGAAGTTTAGTTGTTGAATAAAGAATCTTCCTGGCAACTGTCTTTTGATTACTTCTAAATGCAGATTACAGCTGTCATTTTGGGAAAGGCACATAGCTCAGCATGTGAGAAACTGACACCTTTTTCTTTCCTTTTCAGAGTATCTCCTCTACAGAAGTCTGAAATAGTAGACATGGTCAAGAAACACGTCAATGCCATAACACTTGCCATTGGGGATGGTGCCAATGACGTAGGAATGATCCAAACAGCTCACGTTGGAGTGGGGATCAGTGGCAATGAGGGCATGCAGGCAACCAATTGCTCGGATTATGCTATTGCACAGGTCAGAGGCAAAAAGAACAACTGCCGTATCGTGTTGTCAGAAATGCATTGTACGGCCATGTATTGCTTGATGGCTTCTCCTAGCCTTCAAGCTAGGAGCATCTCTGCTGGTTTCTTTTTCAAGGCAGCTGTCTAGAGCAGATGTCTTGGATGTATTTTTGGGTTTCATTAGTAAGATTTTGTGTTCTTTAGGGCAAAACTCCACCTCCCCTCCAAGTTTGTTTCCTCCTGACAGCTGTGCAATATCTTGGTTCTTCAGTAATCAGGGAGAAGCACTTTCTGTGATGCTGATGTTAACATGCTTTCAAGTGTAACTATCTCTTGGTGCAAGCTTTCTTCTCTTACTGTCAGTAGGCATTATACACAGGTGTGTAAATTTGGCTGTTTGGAAATTCTTCTTTTGAGGTGTATCTTTTTTTGTTCTCACCCCCATGATGTATCCAAGATCTGGTCACAGTTTGAGAGGTGGCCGGTGTTTTCATTTTTTTAGGTATGTTATTTTGAACGTTAATTGGGTGAGTGCTCACAAACTTATCCCATCAAATTCAGCACTGATTACCTCTGCTAAAGAGGAGAGTAAAAAGCCTTTTTTGTTTTACTGAAGAAACCAAGGTGTGGAGTAGAGACTTAAAGAAACATAAGAAAAGAAGGAGGTGCTTCAGTTGCTGGACATCCTCTGAATACTGTTAACGGCTGAGGTGCTCTGTGTATGTGTTTGAGACTGATTACAGGGCAAGAACAGATGGAGCTGACAGGAAGCAGAGATGATCCACTGTCTCATCAGAGATCTGTGAGCATCAGCTGATGTTGCCTTCTGGCAGTTTGTAGGTAGATCTGCTCTGCTAAGTGATATGAAATATTATCGTGCTTTGATAGTTCCAGTAAAAGGTGAGGTTTTGAAAAGGCATGGATAATGCTGCTCTTTGCACGGATAACTGTTTATTGTGTTAACCTTGCTGTGAAGCAAAGTGGCAGTCTTACATTGCTGCTCTGTTTTGTGCTTGGGTGAAGCGCTCAGTTTTAAGCTTGAGTAACTGACACCTTTTACCAAATTTATCCTGAAAATCTTAGTCTGTTTTATCAAGGGTTTATTCTGTCATAAACAGTAGCATATTCCAAATACATAGCATTATAGGAACTGCCATAATCGTGAAGTCTGTGGTATCTTGTAATGACTTCCTCGTTCTGTAGACTATATATTGCTTCTGCTTTATAACTTAAATGAATGCTCTTTACTTAGACTTCCTCAGATCATTTATTACTTCCAGTTTAACAAGTAAGCATAAGCAGTGAGTTTTGTCAATAGAGGGCCCTACACACTTAATTCCTTTTGTTAGTTACAGTAACATTAAACCTGGAGAAGTAACTCCACGTTCATGTGTTGCTTGTGTATTAACAAAACCCCCTGTGTTTGAATTTAGTGTTAGAATGTAGAAGCTGCTCTTGGTTTCAATTCCAGCCAGAGTTACTGACAATAGCAATGAATCTTCTTAGTTCAATATGAAATAAAAGCTGGTCTTACCAGCACAGAATTTTAACTTTCAAAAATTAGTTGAAAACTGTGGAACTGTATTTTTTGTGATTGTGTTAGAGGAGCTTTGTGCTGATTATGAAACATATAAAGGAATCCCTCTTGTAAAGGAGACTAATAGTGTATGGTAATGTGTGGTTCAAAAAAAGTGTTCAAAAGAAAAACTTGATCTCCATGGGGTGTATTTCTTTCAGCAAAGACATATAACTCCCACTGAAGCATTACTGTGTATGCATGCCTTGAAGGCAGAGTATGTTCTTCTTGAGTAATTTAAGACAACCACTATAATGTAGCATCTTGTGTTCAAATAGTATTTCAAATGCAGTGGTGCCAGAAGTAGGCACTTATGGAAGAGAAAGTCTCTATATAGGCTTGCTCAGGATTCCAGGGGGAATCAAAGCATAAACCAAACAAAAATTAATAAGGCAACTTGTGTCTTATTTTATTCCAAATATCTTCCACAGGGGTGCATGGAGCATCTGTTTAAATCATCTTTTTCTTTTGTAATGATATTGCACCAGTGATCCGTATTTAGAAAATTCCCAAAACAAATGACCTGTTTAGAGACACAGTAGTAGAATTGAGTCACTTTTTTCCTCAGTAAAAGGCTTTATTATCTTAATCCAGAGAGCATCTTGTGTCTAGGGCTGTTTCCCTTCTTAACTAGGGAAACTTCTTTTTTTAAACAATTTTTCATGCTTCAGTTTTCTTTTTTGGAAAACTTGGCTTGCGTTTTGGATGCAGTTTCACTGTCCTAAACCTGCTGCTCCCATGGCCTCTGCCTCAGCTTGTCATCATTTCATCCTTTAGTCAAGATAGGAGGTGTCTTTCTAAAAGATAATCTCTGTATTTAAGAAAATTGTGCTAGGGTTGATACAGAGACGACTGAAAAATTGTAGAAACTCTTTTACAGGTAGGCTGGCCAGATGGTTATAATGTTCCCTTCTCATTTAAAAGTCTAAGTACAGTAGTGTCCAAACAAGGACAGTGTTTTAGGAGAGCCCTATCCCTACAGTTGCTCAAGTATGCCAGTAGCTGTGTGTTTGCCTAATTTCAGTGACCAGCATCAAAACAAACTTAATTCCTTGCTACATCTTCACAGGGCCCTTCACCAGCGTGAGCAGGCCCAGAACTGTTATTTAAGTTAGTAATGTCTTACTTACTGTGCACTCATGAGAGTTAGAGGTAAGAGAGCAGTTAATGGTAGGATTTTTCTTTGTCTTGAGCTCCAGAGAAGACTACCTCTGAGATGGTCACTTGTTAGCAGAGAGAAGTTTTCAGGGTGTGTCTAACTACTCTGTACAAGAGGTGTCTGGGGTGACTTGTCAGGATGTAGTGGCAAGTTTTTCATCACTGCTGATGTGTTTTCTGAGGAAAGTTGTAGCTGTGCTGCATATTAACTGAGGCATTAGGTGTCCAGTAGGTCAACTACTCCCTTGTGCGTGTCCCACTTCCAGTCCTGACTCGGTTCAGTCTCTGCCCAATCTGCGAACCTTGGTTCGCTTTTATTTTCTCTCTTTCTTTCTTGCTGGCATATTCTGACAAATCTGAGTTGCTGATGCAGGGGAGAGAGGCTGTTCTTGTAGGATTTGTGGTTCAGTGATTTCAGTGCTACAAATCATGGGAGCAGAGGGATCTCATGATAGTCCTAATTCATTACTGTAGCTTTCAATTTCAAATAAGTTTTGGTTAAAATAAGTTATCTAGAATCTAAATGTAGTAAGTCAAGCTTTTCCTATCAAGTCACTTCGTGGAAAAGGAAGGAAAGGAAATAATGGTTCCACCTTCGATTCCAAGAACCCTTGAGGTGTACACATGCTAAATGGTAAATCTAGTCACCAGTTTGAGCTGTCAGCAACTGGACAAAAGAGAAATGCTGCAACTGAAAAAGAGAGGAATGCTTTAGGCCATAAAAAAGTTCACTGATGAAGCCAAGACTAGAAAATTATGCATTTCCTTTGAAGCATTGCGAGACTGCTTCTATAAAAATCCATTTTCAGAACTGATGAATTAAGAAGCTGAATTTGAGCTGTATCTGTGGCTCAAACTAGCATTAAAAGGTATCCATTTTTACAAGAATCACTTACTTGCCCTTTTTGGCGGATGCTTTTTTATACAGTATTTTAGGTGCTTTGTATAACATGTGATTGCGTACATTTTGTGGGATGAAAATGTTAATGTAAGCATTCTCTATAAAAGTCTTTATGCATCTATTTTTCCACTTGTGTTCTACCCTTGTGCATTTTATTTCAGCTTAAGACAGTTTTAATTAGCAGACTGTTCATTTAACAGAGACAGGAGATTCTGAACCTTGCTACCCCTCAAACACAGGAATTTTCTTTGACCATGAAATGGAGACTTCACATTTATATTCGCTCAATCCACAAAGCTCTATTATGTTAACATTGCTTGATTTTACTATCACGACAGTAATACTAATTGTAGACTTCTTGCTATTTAAAGCCAGTGAAGACCACTTAAAAACATTCAGAGGTTTTGCTACAACAAAAGACTTTTCCTATGAATATGAAGTGTTTTTTTGCATGTATGTTCTGCTAAGCTGTTTAAATATTGCACTTGAAGAACATCTCTCATAGCTGATCTGAGGTTTTTTTGAGGGCTGTGGTTTACTTCAACCAATTTTTTTAAACAGGGCTTCATGTATGTAAAAACTTGTATTCTCTCTTTCAGTTTTCCTACTTGGAGAAGCTGTTGTTGGTCCATGGAGCTTGGAGTTACAATCGAGTTACCAAGTGCATACTATATTGCTTCTACAAGAATGTGGTTTTATATATTATTGAGGTAAGAGTAACTAAATGGGCAGGTCTTACTGCTGCTCACTCCTCAAATCATCTCCAAATGGATTGAGCTGAAAGGACTGACGTTCTTTTTTCCCATGTTTAACAGCTTAAAATTTGTTTCCTTTCTCAGATTAAGTTAATTCACTTGAATCTTCTGATGTTTGCAAAAGGAAATCTGAAGGCTTCAATACAGCGAAGCCTTGGATAGGAGATGTCAGGGACAAAGTTCATTGGTTCTGTGCAAATATCGTTATTGAAAGCTTCTTTGTATTCATGGAAACATTTCAACTAGAGCTTATATTTATAAAACTTGAATTTGGGGCTAAAATTAAATCAAAAGTTCATTTAATATAATTGGGAAGAACTCTATAGGCAGATAAACCAGTCAAAAAGTATAGCCATTGCTTCCAAATTATAAAGACCATACCTTACCTGGAACAGAAATTAGTTTGCCTTAGTTTTTGGAAAGAACATAATTTTGACCCACAATGCCACTGAAATTATAAAATCAATCAGGTTATTTGATTTAATAATATTTCAATGTAGCTAACTGTTTTGAAAAAATAGATGTTTAGTGAAACTGGATTTTAAAGAGGGCTGAATGATGTTATGAACATTAATACATTGCATTTCAGCCTGCTTAGAGGAGTGTGGTTCTTACACTGCAGTATATAGTCTTGATTTTAAGAAGGATCGGGAAGAGATTTTTATCATGTGCTGTTGCCTAGTTAGAAACACGGGGAATTTATACTGAAGTGACCAGTCTGAATACCAAGTGGTGACTTGGTACACCAATTGCCCCATTGTTTATCAATGTTATTTGTATGTGTGTCTGTGTATGTATTCCGTTTTCTATTTCTTGCTACAATTAAGCAGACTTGAATGAGGTTAACAGATATGAAAATCAGAACATTTATGATTGGCGCCTAGTTACATGGATTACAGGACACAGTGGGTAAATGGTGTTTTACTGTTCAGTGAATCACATCGTGATCAGTGTGTGTATATCGGACTCCCTCAAGGTCTAATCATCTTTTATGCATGACGTTAGGCTGTTAGAGAACAGATATTCTCATATATTCAAATATTGCAAGAGAGTTATACTATGCCATCAAAATAATGGCAGTGTTTTACTGTGACAAGTGAGAACAGGATGGTTGAATGATAAACAGTATGCTGGATTTGTGAAATAATGAGGTTAATATCTTTTCTGAATTTTAAGCATCTTTTCTGCCAAATTTAAATCCATGTTTCTGAGATTTCACAGGTGTGTTCTTGTCCTAGTGTAGAAGCCACCTTCACAACTCTGAGAAATCTAGCGCACTTAGATAATTAAGATTTGGTTCATGTTTTACTTTCCAAAATAGTGCTTAATTTGACTTGGGCTGATCATAACTCATGTTTTTAGTAAGAGTTTTTAGGTGTTCTTGGAGATGACAACAATATTCATAATTGTGCAAAAGAAATATAAATAATTTACAGGAGAATCTTTTTTTAGCTGTTTTCTTACTGAGCATGGGAATTGCTGGGGTTTTGTCTGAATTGTTCAGAAAATGCTCAACAGCTTCATGATTGCTTTCTAGTATTCTTTTCTCCATTTGAAAACTAGTTTTGGAAGTCCTCCTTGCCCATTGTAGCAGTGTGTGTGTCTGCTTTATTTACTATAGTCTGACAAGTAAATTTAAGTTCTGTATCAAATGTTGTATGGCTAAATTATGCCTTCCTGTGTGAGCAGCTGTGGAAGGGGTTGAAGACAGGTGAAGGCCTCTGGGACCTCCAGCCTGAGGTAGCTCACTCATCCTACCATAAGGAGGAATTTTATTAGCCAGAGATACCACTATATGATACATAAAAGGCAAGTTTGGTTTGAGAATGTGAGGTCAAATGTTCTCTTCACTGTGTTAGACTGTGTTCAGGTCTTTCTGCATACTGTACTGAGGCAAATAAGCTTTTTTTTTTTTTTTTTGTCTCCTGATGTCCATGACCAAGGGTGGGAGTCACTTCCATGTAACACCTAAGCACTGAAAAATGCGTAACGAGCTTCAGCCCTGTGTGTACATTACCCCTGTGTGCTCACGTTGCGTAGAATTTTGGAGCAAGTTGAAGGCTCAAGAGGTGAAGTGACATCTTGTAGACCTGCAGTAACGCGAAGAGCTCGGTTTGGTTTTTAGTTCCTCTGGTGAATTTGCTTTCCTAGTGACCTTAAGGAACTTCCCCTCCAAAACTGTATAAAACTAGCCAAATTGCCTGGAAACTGAAGAGACACACATTTTGGTATCCTAGGGATGCAGGGGAGAGAAGGGAGTTCTCTAGTTCCCCTCCTAGCTGTACACAAAGAGAGCTGAGTTGTTTTGTATTGCTGCTGTGAGGCTTGGGAGCGCTGATCAGTTTGTGGTACGGAATGATGCTCATGAAAGAGAAGCTCCATGAGGGAATAAATCCTTCAACTTGAGAGAAGAGCAGTTGAGTGCCCAGCACTCCTGTGCATATGGTATGTTCCTGATTGTTTCCCAATGCTCTGGACAAGTTTAATATTTACCTGTACTTCCTGCTTGGATGTGTGGTATAGGGGGAATATTCTTTTAGCATCGTAATGAGAAAGGGATTTGAACTTCAACTGCTTTCTAAGTTAATCTAAAGGATTGTACTGAGTAAATATTTATAGAGTTGAATCAAAAAGCAGCAGTGAATATCACTGTCAGTTATACCTTTGTTACTGTATCTGTTTTATTTCAATGAAGCTTTAACACCTGAGGAATAACTATAGTAAGCCTTATGTAAATGAGTTTTGCAGCTGTGAAGCACTGGGGCTCTTCATAACTTTTATTCCCTGATATGATACTTGCTGAATATCAGAGAGAAATAAGAGATGGTACTCAGGCTTAGCACACAGAACATCTGAACACAACTTAGAGGCACACATTAGGATTAAACTTCAGTTAATTAAACAGTGATAAATGCTGGAGGAGAATATATTGCTGTCTCACAGCATGCCAATATTGGCATATAAAGACCTCTAATACACTTAGAAGTTCATCTTGATACCAATCGCTCTTATACCAGGGGGATCCAAGCTGTGGCATCTCTGAAACATTAAATTTCGTCAGCTTTCCTTCAGCTTCTGGGAGAAGTGGTAATTAAAATACAGAGTTTGGGATTTGGTGACTGGCATGGTGGGCTTTGCTCCTGGGAGATGCTGCTGGGTAAAGCTGGTGCTTACCTTCCTGCAGTGCCTGATTCCTGGAGGAGAGATAGGGGCTTCAGGAACTGTGGTGTCAGCTGCTTTGACAATGGCCAAAATGTGCACCCATATTGGGACAATTTCATGCAGCTAGAGCTAATATAGCAGAAGACAGGCCTTGAAGTCTAGTGATTGCAGGGGAAATAGAGACATGACTGCATTTTCCCTCCCCCTTGATTAGGCATTCCTAATATTTTTTTAAGGGGTGAGTTTTAAGTTATCAAAGTGATAAAGCTCAGTGAAGTCTGGGAAGACTTTGGTGCATCTTAACAGCTCAGTATTGCTTTCTTTCCTCTGATCTGATCTCTCTTTCCTTTTTTGCATTTCTTCATAATCGTCCTTCTGCCATTCTCCTAATTTTCCCCTTAATTTTTGAAAGCACAAAACTCAGTAAATATAAGTAAAAAACAGAAAGAGAAGCAGCTCCTGGCATGTCAGGTCCTTTTGGCGTGATTCTTAGCCTGATTCTTGAGCCCTTGCATATCACTGCTATCAAGCTGTTTCAGGGTGTCAGGCTGGGGTTCACTTGCTCATGTCCTCACTTACCAGCTGAGGGGTGTAGAATCAAGCCTTTCCACCCACAGAGGCGGTTGATAGATGAATTGCTGCTGCTTCCCCACTCTGACTGGCCCTGCTGGATCTGTCCTACCAGTGGCAAGAGAATCTACATAGGAAGCTACCAAGATGGCTGCAGGGATGAAACGCGAATGTAAAGCCCCCTGCTTGCTGTCAATTCCTGCATTTCCCACGTGTGCCTGCAGTAGCAGTGTGCACTAAAGCCGTTACTGAGCAAAGACGGCCAGTCAGCATCATCCTGAAGCAGAAGCTCAGTGGCAGGGTTTTGGCTTTTACAGATTTGCAAATACCTGGGCATCACTACAGAACACCATCTTATTCAATTATTTATGTAGCTGGCTTTAAACTGAGTAGTGAAACAAAAGATTTGTTTCACATCTGTTGAGCAGATATATTTCACGGGAGATGATATAAAGTTGTCCTGATGACATCAGAGCTTTGAAATATAGCCGTTTTCAAATGTAAAGGAGTACAGGAATGTTGCTTTCATGTCATGCTTGGAGAAGTAGAAACACAGCAAGATCAAAGGCAGTATCAGAAATATCAGGTAAGAGTTCAAGGCATTTGGGAATGGTTCTGTGGAAACAGTAGCATGGAAGATAGGTTTCAGGCCAACACAGGGTACAGGAAAAATGTGCTCAATCCTTCACTGGAGCATGTTTATCTGAAACGTGTACTTAATACGAAGTGCTTTTGCTATATTGTGGAGTGAGGGAGGGCAGGGGGATAGATGGTGCCTGTGTCAAGGTCTGGCAGTGTAGGGCCGTGACAGAGAAATGAATGGCAAGTGGGAAGGGGGGAGTGTAGTGTACATACCCTGACACTGCATTCTTTTCTTTTCTGCCTTAAGAATCCAGAGACAAGTTTTTAAGCCCAGATTGGAAAGCTGTTTCTTTGGAGGATGAGGGAGATCTTACATGTGAGCAGCATTGAACAAACAAGATAAACGTACCGAAGAACAAAACACCAGGATCATAGTTTCTCTTAGCTGAATTTTGAAGTCTCAAAAGCTCTGAGTAAACACCGTGCCTAGACAAGCATGCTTTTAAATAAGTGGTGATTTTTGTGAGTCCACCAAGGTCTGATAGTAAGAGCTGTGAAGTGCTCAATATGCTTTTAGTGGTCACCACTTCAGACTAGCCGATAGCACAAACTATGAAAGTGCACGTGAAAAGCTGCTGCAC